TAAGAATAAATTTTTGGAAACCACAAGAAACAGATGAACCAATTCCAAAAAAGGGAGCTGACAACTTTTCAAATGTAGTTGCAAGTTGCCAATACTTAATTTTCTGCTGAGGTTTGCGAGGAAGTTCACCAACTCCCAAAAGGATTATGGTAAATCCCAATTTTAGTAAATAGAGAAGGAAGGATGTTGTCTACTAAACAAATTCCTGGATAGGGACGGGAGTGGAAGATAGCAATTTTTGCAAGAAGAGTGTACGTCGCAAAGTGGCCCACATCAATGAACACAATCCTGGGCTCTGGATTTCTGACCTGCTTTGGAGCTCAGCTATAACTAGTGATTAAACAATTGGCATCCTAAACATGACAGGGCTCCAAGTGAATTAGGCCTGCCTCTGATAAATGGTACTGGTAACCATAACAACGGCTGGTAATCTTGGCTTCCATTCACATGTAAAAGTGAGATATTTAAAAGCTGACTGCAAGCTCTGAGCTTGGATGGGGCCCGCAAACTGATGGACATCACTGGCGGATAATCTGGTTGGAGACCTAGCCATTGCATTTGCGGGAATGCCCAAAGTCAGTTAACTATAGGTCTTTTTTCAGAACCATTCAATACTTTTAAGAAAGAAATCCTCTAACCTCCTGTTTAGGAAGTAAAATGTCGCTGCTGTCAATCTGAAAGTTGCGCCAAAAAGAGGGTCTGGGGAGTTTCAGTTTTCAATCTAATACCTCACTCTTTACTGAGCCTGATGTTTCTAGGTCTGGAGACTCTCTGATTCAGTTTCTCTAGAAAATAAATTGATAGGACAGTGTCTAACTGGTCCTCATACAGACTGCCACTCAATGCTGCTATTCAACAGCATATTTCACATTTGCTTTCAGAGATACATGGTTATTCCAAATTACTGAGACTTACTTTGGGTTCTGCAGCAAGAATCAGAATGCTTCCTGATAGTATCTCCCCACTGCAGGTACAGGGGTTTCATTTTATGATGTTGCTAAATTGGTTTCCCTGGGGGCCTCTCTCTCTCTGCCTCTCTATAATCAGTCACCAAGTCTCTAGACATACCTCCTTAATAGCTCTCTTCATTCTCTTTCCTGATTCCCATTGTAATCACTTAATATAGATCCTCATCATTTTTCTCCAGGTATACTAGAAGAGTCTTTTAACTTGTATAGTAGGCAGAATTTTAAGATACCCTCTAGGATTCCTGTCCCCAGGTTATTTAATCAATCATTAATTTAGATAATGCTATAAAAGGACTTTACAGATATAATTAGGTTACTAATCAGCTCACTTTAAGATAGGGAGATTACTGAGTGGGCCCAATGTAATCACTTGAGCCCTTAAAAGCAGAAGAGGAAGGCAGAGAGATTCCAAGGAGAAATATGTAGAGGTCCACGTGCTACGACCACAGAGAGGCCTCTAGTAGCTGACAGTCCAGCTGACAGCCAGGAATAAACAGGAACCTCAGATCTACAACTGCAAGGAACTGAGTTCTGCCAACAATGTTAGTGAGCTTGGAGGTGAATTCTTTTCCAAGCTTATCAACTAGAGCCCAGCCAGCCAACACTTTGATTTCTGCCTTGTAAAATCCAGAGCATTACTAGAAAACTAGTAACAGCCAACTTGGACTTCTTACTTAGAGAAGGGTGAGATAATAAATGTATGTTGTTTTAAGCTGCTAAATTTGTGGTAATTTGTTATGGCAGCGATAGAAAAATGTAACTTATCTCCCCACTTTGAGTCTTGCCCTTTTTGATCTAATCTCCCAACTGCTGCTAGAGCTAAAAGTAAAATGTATTTTTACATTTAGAATACTGCTGTATTCTAAAAAATACAAATCTGATTAATCTGCTGCTTGTTAACACAAGTTATATCCTTAATATATTATCTATATATAATTTTATAAATAACATTGTGTGTCTGACTTTGGTTTTATGAATTGACTTTTGCTTTTAAATCTGATCAGTCACCTTTCTCAGTTGGTACTTTAAGTGGTCATCCATGTCCAATGGAGAAGAAATAATAGGGCATATCTAGAAATAGCTAGAAATTCAGTTATGAAGAGAATTATGATCATGTGAGAAAGAGAAGGTCAACAAAGACTGGTTACAAAAATGAGAAAGATTGAGAGGACTGGAAGTATTGAGAAAAATAAAATAGGCATTGTGCTTTTTGATATATGTGTGTGTGTATGTGTGCACTTATATGTAAGCATGTGTGTGTGTATATATATATAAAAATATGTAACACATATATTTTAAATGTATTTTTATAGAAAATGGCACATGCCCATGGGAAAAAAAATCAACCGTTACAGAAGAGTTCAGGCCAAGAGTCCAAAACTGGCAATTTATAGATAAATTCAATTAGTCAAAGGGCTTTACTGTACTCATACAGTATCAATTTACTATGCTCATACAGCATTTTAAATTTATTTATTCATTTTGAGACAGGGTCTTGCTCTATCACCCAGGCTGGAGTGCAGTGGCATGATCACAGCTCATCGCAGCCTTGACCTCCTGGGCTCAGGTGATCCTCCTGTCTCAGCTTCCCGAATGGCTGGGACTGCAGGCGTGAACCACCATACCTGGCTATTTTTTGGGTTTTTGTGGAGATAGAGTCTCGCTATGTTAACCAGTCTGGTCTCAAGCTCTTGGCCTCAAGTGATCTTTCCACCTTGGCTTTCCAAAGTGCTAGGATTACAGGTGTGAGCCACCATGGCTAGCCAGTATTTTTAAATTTTATTAATTTAATTCAATTTTAATTTAATTTTTGTTTTATTTTATTTTATTTTATTTCTGAGACAGGGTCTCATTCTGTCTCCCAGGCTGAAGTGCAGTGGCGCAATCATGGGTCACTGCAGCCTCGACCTCCAGGGGATCAGGTGATCCTCCCGCCTCAGTCTCCAAAGTAGCTAGGACTACAGGCATGCACCACCATGCCTGGCTAATTTATCTGTTTTTCGTAGAGATGGGGTTTTGCCATGTTGCCCAGGCTGGTCTTGAACTCTGGGCTCAAGAAATCTGTCCTCCTTGGCCTCCCAAAGTGCTGGAATTATAGGCATGAGCCACCATGCCCAGCCCAATATTTTATTTTTAAATCTGAATTTGAATGACTTCATGGGTTCCAAATCTGCCTGTTTGACATAGTCTCAGCCCATATCTCATCCTTTTCTAGTTTTATAACTGACCTCATTCATTCATTTGTGATTCTTGTTTTGTTTTTAGTCAAATAAGTTTGTAATCTTGGCATAAAGTATAAAGTCCCTACTACCTCCACAAATCCTCAAGTTTTATGCCCTAGAGCAAGATTTCTCAACAGTGGTAATATAGACATTTTGAAATGGATAATTCTGTTTTGGGGGGTGCAATCCTGTTCACTGTAGGATTCTCAGCAGCATCCTGGGTCTCTACCCACTAGATACTCCCTAGTCACATCCCTTACTTGAGACAATTTAAAATGTCTCCAGACACTACCACCCTAGGGGACCAAATTGCTCCCAATTGAAAACCACTGTCCAAGAGAAACCCGTGATAAGAATTTCTAAGGTATCCTTCTAGATAATTTCTATGTCAGTAATAGCAAGTTGTGCAAATAGTAAAGTTTGTGTCTCCATCCCCTTTTTTTTTTTAATAATTTATATCTACCTTTAACAATTTATCATAAGTATTATTCCTTGTTCTTACAAACAAATAAATGTGCTATATGCCATACTTTGAAACAGTGGAAAAGATTTTCACTATATGGAACTATCAAAATTTATTTAATCAACCATGTTCTCGGTCCCTTGCTCCCCCCCCAACTCCTGGATTTTTTTTCACCTGTGTGCATGGAAAAAGCTAGAGAAAGGAAACCTCTCTGACAAACTGATGAAATACAAGGATGAAGAGAGATTACCGGTGTATGGAGGCAGCAAGAGTTAAAGGGCTTTCTCTGCCAATGCTGCCGTTTGCTTTGTTGCTTTGCAATTTCTTTGTTTTGTTTTGTTTGAGACAGGGTCTCACTCTGTTGCCCAGGCTGGAGTGCAGTGGTACAATCTCAGTTCACTGCAGCCTCAACCTCCCAGGCTCAAGTGATCCTCCCACCTCAGCCTCCTGAGTAGCCAGAACTACAGGAGTGTGCCACCTGGCTAATTTTTATTTTTTTACAGAGGCAGGGTCTCCCTATGTTTCCTAGGCTGATCACTGAACTCCTGGGCTCATGCAATCTACCCACCCTGGCCTCTCAAAGTGTTGGGATTACAGGCATGAGCCACGGCGCCCAGCCTGCAATCTCTTTCAAAAGCAAGGACTGGGCTATAAAACAGCAGACCACTTTTCCTGATAATCCTTGCTTCATGCTAAGAAAAGAGTTTACAAAGAACGGGGATTTGAGATCACACACGGAGAGACTTGAGTGGATAAAGATGATTGTGATGGCAAGGAAGGAAATCAAATGTACAGAGAGATTAGAAAGGAACCTGTAATGATAAGGGCAAAACAGTCACAAATATCTGACAGTCAACCTTTCCTTTTATTTCACTTCTAATTATGGACCTGATTATAGTTATCTTCCATTACTTGGGTGGTGATGCATTCAAACAAAACCAGCTCCCTTGCTGCACAGCATCATACTCCCCCACAGCGGGGCCAAGCAGATGGGGTCCAGAGGCATGCTCTGATGTTCTAAGAGTAAAATGTATTCCTGTTGCTAATAAGTGTCCCAGGCTTGGCAGGTCATAGGTTGCACCATCCTGTGACTCTGGTCTTTTTGTTGATGAATGGAACTCATGGAGAGTAAGATCTGGACAACCTGATCTCTTTTAGCAGATTTTATCAAATTCACTAAACATATAATTATGTTGTTATGAAATAATATGGCTGTGATTTTATGCATAATTTTCTCATAACTCATCAGGATTTCATTAATAGTTCCAAAAGATGCCTCAGACCCTCCTGTAGAAAGAACCATGAAAAGTAATATAATACAAAATTTAAAAAAAAGACAACTCATACCTTTTGGTGCAATTTTGTTTGGTTTGTTGCTTTGTGATCTCTTCCAAAGCAAGAAGTGGGCTACAGAATAGCTGTCCACTTTTCCTGATTATTCTTTGCTTCATGGCAGTTAGACTACTCCATTCTCGAACAAATCTCAAAATCTGGCAGAAAATGAGATAATAAAAAGGGTTAACAGCTCACAGTCATCTTCCTTTGAAAGTGAGCCTATTTATAACATCAGAAAACTGCTCTTTTGTTATGTCCCCCAAATAGGCTTTTGAGTTCCACAATCTAATGCTTTCTTCAATTTGATGCAATTTTCATATCTTTATTGTGAACTACCTACAGCATTCTCAAGAGATACTTTTTCTTCCTTTTTGATAGGGTCTTGCTCTGTTGCCCAGGCTGGAGTGCAGTGGCATGATCACGGCTCACTGCAGCCTTGACCTCCAGCAGTCCTCCTGCTGCCTTAGTTTCCTAAGTAGCTGGGACTACAGGCACATGCCACCATACCTGGCTAGTTTTTCTATTTGCTGTAGAGACAGGGTCTCACTATGTTGCCCAGGCTGCTCTTAAACTCCTGGGCCCAAGTGATCCTCCTACCTCACCCTCCTTAAGTGTTGGCATTACAGGAGTGAGCCATCACACCCAACCAAGAGATCTTTTTCAATCCAAAGCTTCTCTAAAGGCATGTTTCAGGACATGCAGTGTATGCCCTTAACACACATAGATCAACAGTGATAATATGCTCATTGAGACCAAAAAAGGTCTGGAAGTACATATCCCAGCTGGGGTCAAGGCAAAACTAGGTGACAGAATGATAGTGCAACATCTGAGAATCGCTTTGTAAATGATGTCTAAGTTTTCACAGGAAAAAAAAAATCAATAAATCTGGGACATTTTTAGTAGGGTTACCAGTCAAGTATATATAACTGGCTATTTTTTGGGACTCTGAGAATCAGGATTAGATTATTCCAAATAAATAGCTTACTGTTCTCTTTTCATTTAAAACAGGTATAGCTGACCTATGGGCAATGCTACATTTCCACTCAAATGGTAAAAAAAATAATCACCATTTTCTTGTAAAAATGGCACACAGCACGCTGGGTTAGCCCCTGCGCATGATGACCCTTCTTGGCAGTGAAGGAAAATCAGCCACAGATGAGTGTTAAGACCTCCCTGGCAGGAACTTGGCCTGGAGCTGCATGCTGGTGCTTCTGCTAATGAATCAAGAATCACCCAGTAAGGTATTATCTCTGCTCTTGGAATTTGTCATTGTTAGAACTTAACCTTAGTAGAAAAAATGTGATTCTAGCAGATACAAATATCACAGTTGCTAATCCTGTGAATGAGAAATTAAATAATGTGAGGATAATTCTATCCACAGAAACAGCAACTGTAGGTGTGATCATTTGCCAAGGAAACAGATTTCACGTATATTCTTAGCACCGGGTAATTAATAGGCACCACCTAGACTGAAGAAAATGCAACCAGTGATTTGACTCTATAACATGACACAAAGTGCTTTTTTAAACTTAAACTCAAAATGATCATTAAAATTATTAAAACAAGTTTATTTAAAGTAAATAAAGCCATTTTATTTAAAACTATTCTTACCAGTGAGCGATTTTGTTTCAGCTGAAAGCTTGCTGGTAAATCTTCCCAAAGGTCTAATTTTATATCCAAAGGAATGAAATTACAGCTCATCTGTTTTCCACCCTGATGATAGATTAGGAAGACACTAACAATCCATTTTTGTATAGGCACTAGAAACTATTTTAAATGAAAATAATTATATTTTGACGCAATATGCCTAGTCTCCTAAAAGAAAAACTGAGGTGACACATTCTAGACAAGGGTCCACCAAAATGGCTCCTCTGGAGAAACTGTGAGCCAAGAAGGGGAGGCAGGCTCTCTACCACACTGGGTGCTTCCACTGCCCATGCCTACCCCAACGTTATTGCCTTCAGCCTGGAATGCTTTGTTTACTGCTGTGTCATACGCTTTTCTATTGACTAATCTTGGAAATATGTATCAAAACAATAAAATTATACACTGCAAATTAACATAGAAGAATATTATATCCTTGAAGTTAACAGTAGCACAACCATTCCCAAATTTGCAAATAAACTTCTTTATACTCACTGACAACATAAGTATCACGTCAAAGAAGGGTATCAAGGAATAGTCTGAATAACCTTCACCAAATGATAAGTCTGTCCATTGTTACAGGAACAAGGAAGTAAAGAGAAGGCAGAAAGATCAATTCTAGAGAAGTTACTTAAAAATTTGCTCCCCCAAAGCAATGTCACAGTATCAGTCAATGAGGACTGTCTGCCAATAGTACCACCTGGAGAGTAAGTGGAACTGCATTTAGGTCCCAACCATCGGTGCACAACATCCTGAAATCTTTTTTTTCCCTTTTTTTTTTTTGACACAAGGTATCACTCTGTCACCCAGGCTGGAGTGCAACAGCGTGATCTCGGCTCACTGCAGCCTCAACCTCCTGGGCCCATGTGATCCTCCCACCTCAGCCTCCCAAGTAGCTGGAATTACAGGCACAAATTCCACCACACCTGACTAATTTTTTTCTATTTTTTGTAGAGACAGGGTTTCACCATGTTGCCCAGGCTGCTGGGCTCATGTGATCCTAACACCTTGAACTCCTGGGCTCAAGTGATTCTTCCACCTCAGCCTTCCAAAGTGCTAGGATTACAGGAATGAGCCACCATGCCCAGCCTCTGAAATCTTAAGGGTACAAAGTAACCACATACAGCGGTGCAGCAGAGGTATTTCCTTTATAAATGGGAAGAATCTCTCATACGAAAATCTACTTTATCAATAGTTGAACTCATATTCTCTCAGTTAAAAAAAAAAGTTACAGCTCCCACAATTACTTTAGAGAAAAACATACAAAAAGTACGCACTGATTAAAAATTTTGAGGCCAGGTGCAGTGGCTCACGCCTGTAATCCCAGCACTTTGGGAGGCCAAGGCGGGAGGATCACGAGGTCAGGAGCACGAAATGAGCCTGACCAACATGGTGAAACCCTGTCTCTACAAAAAATACAAAAATTAGCTGGGCGTGGTGGCACGTGCCTGTAATCCCAGCTACTCTGGAGGCTGAGGCAGGAGAACTGCTTGAACCCCGGAGGCAGAGGTTGCAGTGAGTCGAGATCCCGCCACTGCACTCCAGCCTGGGCAGCAGAGAGAGACTCCATCTCAGAAAAAAAAAAAAAATTGGTATGTAATTCTAAACCCTGATATAGACATGGGATTCTGGCTGAAACGAAGAGTTCTAATACGACACAGGATGCTAAATGTCTGTTACTACTCTTCCTTTAAAGGGGTATCCTTTTAGGCAGTGAACTAGGAATTATTTTATTTTATTTTTATTTTTTTAGACAGAGTCTCACTCTGTTGCCCAGGCTGGAGTGCAGTGGCACAATCTTGACTCACTGCAACCTGTACCTCCCGGATTCAAGTGATTCTCCTGCCTCAGCCTCCCAAGTAGCTGGGATTACGGGTGCCTGCCATCATGCCCGGCTGATTTTTGTATTTTTAGTAGGGTCGGGGTTTCACCATATTGGTCAGGCTGGTCGCAAATTCCTCACCTCAGGTGATCCGCCTGCCTCGGCCTCCCAAAGAGTTGGGATTACACGCATGAGCCACTGTGCTCAGCCTTACTTCAGCTCTTTCAAGGTGAAAAGGAAAGCTTTCATTTCAGCTCTACTCTGGTTGTGAAAAGATATGTCAACAATTCATCTGCTCAGTGTCTTGTGTTTGGAAAATTATTTGGGTGGTAACATTTTATGGTAAAGAGACATGTAAGTATTTAGAACAGTCATAAAACTATATTTGATACCATTAACAGAAATGTCAAGAAGAAGCAGGCTACTAGCCTGGCGGCAGAGCCTGAATACGGGTCAGCGAGGTGGTCGCTGTGGTTCTATCAGGAGCCTGCAGTTCTCTGTCTGCACCCCAGCAGGGATACAACACTGATCAGGTAATCCAAGAGGCAGAGCTTTCACTGTATAGAGTTAAAAAAGATTAAAGAATTTAAGGGCTTCTGGATTTCTGTGGTATGCTCTGCCTGGTGTCTGTCCTTTGGTTTTGTCTACCTTCAAGCCCCTCTTGGGACCATTTCTCTGTCCCTCTCCTGTGATGGTCTGAGAAAGAAGCATGGTCTAAAGCTCTCCCAACATGGGGGATGAGGGTGGCTCAGGCACTTAAACCTGCCTCAAGATGAATAAAGGAGTCACTGGTGCTCCCTGTAGCCTGGTTCACCATGTCAGAGGCTCCACATGGTAGATCAGGCTCCACACCTGTAAGAGGAGAATTGATTACTGCCTGGCTTGGTTCTTGGTGTCTCTCTCTCAGTTATTGTCCTATGCTAGAGGCTGCTTGGGGATGCTGGTATTCATGATCCTAGCCATCTCCTCCTAAGAGAAGATTATTACATGGTACACTATCTATCTATATCTATATTTGGTTTAGTAGAAAACCTGTAATGGAAAGTTTGGTCATCTCCAACATATTATGTTTTAAATATCGATATAATGGACCATGAGTTTTAAAAGTTTCAAATACTATCTTATTATACTTATAAAGATTAGAAATTTAAAACTTTAGGCCGGGCGCAGTGGCTCACATTTGTAATCCCAGCACTTTGGGAGGCCGAGGCAGGCAGATCACGAGGTCAGGAGTTCAAGACCAGCCTGGACAACACAGTGGAACCCTGTCTCTACTAAAAATAGAAAAATTAGCTGGGTGTGGTGGTGGGCGCTGCAATCCCAGCTACTTGGGAGGCTGAGGCAGGAGAATCGCTTGAACCTGGGAGGCGGAGGTTACAGTGAACCGAGATTGTGCCACTGCACTCCAGCCTGGGTGACAGAGCTAGACTCCGTCTCAAAAAAAAAAAAAAAAAAAAGAAATTTAAAATTTTAGACCAAATAAAAGTATTAATAATCTATCCAGGCCATAGATTCTCACTTTCAGAAAGTCGTGTTTTCATACCAATAGCAAGATACTGTTGGCCTTTTCCACTCTCATTCTTTCACAAACGTATGGTGACTTTTTCCAGTGGCTACATGAAATGCTGTCTCAACAAACTGAACACAGAGACAGATACCGGAATCCCACTGTTTTCCATTAAGACTTTAGAGAAAACTGCTAAACATGTAAAACAATGACAATCTTCTCACTAAATATTTTTTTGACTTGGAAAATATAATTATTTTAAATAAAAAAAGTTATTTATATAAATATATAATGGGTTTATTTATCTTAAAATATGCATTTCCTCACTTAAAAATAATTGTTGGCCAAGCATGGTGGCTCACGCCTGTAATCCTAGCACCTTTAGGAGGCTGAGGTGGCAGACTGTTTGAACCCAGGAGTTTGAGACCAGTCTGGGCAACACAGCAAGACATTCTGTCTCAAAAAAAAAAAAAAAAAGACCCTCTCTCTCTAAAAAAAAAAAAACAACCAAACAAAAAAATGGCCAGGTGTGGTGGCTCACACCTGTAATCCCAGCACTTTGGGAGTCTGAGGTGGGCGGATCACAAGGTCAGGAGTTCGAGACCAGCCCAGCCAATATGGTGAAACCTCATCTCTACTAAAAATATAAAAATTAGCCAGGTGTGGTGGCAGGTGCCTGCAGTCTCAGCTACCTGGAGGCTGAGGCAGGAGAATCATTTGAACCCAGGAGGTGGAGGTTGCAGTGAGCCGAGATGGTGCCACTGCACTCCAGCCTGGGCAACGGGGTGAGAAAAAAAAAAAAAAAAGAAATAGAAAAATGTAATTGTTAATTATTCACATTTATGAAAAAAAAATTTTTTTTTTTGAGACAGAGTCTCATTCTGTTGCCCAGGCTGGAGTGCAGTGGCACGATCTTGGCTCACTGCAATCTGTACCTTCCAGGTTTACACGATTCTCCTGCCTCAGCCTCCCGAGTAGCTGGGATTAAAGGCACTCGCTACCACACCCAGCTAATTTTCCTATTGTTAGTAGAGAGGGGGTTTCGCCATGTTGGCCAGGCTGATCTCAAACTCCTGAACTCAGGTAATCCACCCACCTCAGCCTCTCCAAGTGCTGGGATTACAGGCGTGAGCCACCACACCCAATCATAAATGAATATTTTTGAGAAGCTCCATTTTAATTTCAAATATAGTAGACATCAATAGATATAACCTATATAAACAAAAGGTCTTTCGGGTTCTCAATAAATTTTAGGAGTGCAAAGAGGTCCTGAGTCTAAAAAGTTTGGGTACTACTAAGCTAGCCTATGGCAGGAATCAGCAATCATCTGACAAAAGCTTCCTAGCATTTACTCAACATGAATGGGCAGGTTTAGGCTTCTGTAAAGACGCTGCTGCTCCTGCTGCTGCAAGTGATCAGTGCAGGATTAACATTTATGGAGAGTTCATGTAGGCCAGGCACTGTCCTAAGTGCTTTACAGGACTCAGCTCATTTTATCTTTGCAACAAATCCTGTCTGCATTTTATTTTTTATTATTTTAACAACTTTTAATTTTTAAGGGTACAGAGTAGGTTTATATACTTATGGGATGCATGAGATAATTTGATACTGGCATACAATGTGTAATAATCACATAAATGGGGTAAATGGGGTATACCACATTTTACAGTTGAGGAAATTGAAGCACAGAGCAGTTGAGTAATGTGTCCAAGATTACATACTAACAGATTTGAACTGAGGCAGTCTGGCCCTGAAGTCTATGTTCTTAAAGACTGTGTGGTTTTACCTCTCACTGTCTTTAGATTTAACACAGAAATTTGAGAATTAGCTTTAAGGAGGAAAATAACTAGATGCTTATCTCATTGTTAATAAAATTAAGTATCTCCACTGAAAAGTGAATAAAGGAAGTATTTTTTTATGTTTCAAGTTACAGACTCTGCATGATGCTTACCTTAGTATAGATGTGAATCCGGTCAGTATTCCTACTTGCACAAAACATTAAGGTGTCATACACTGGCAAAGTGTCTGAACTCTTCAACTGTTCTATTAAAGAAGACAAAAGAGAACCTGAAGGCTTATCTACTCTCTATCTAAAATAGCTTATTTTAATCATGTGTAGGTTAGAATGATGAAATAGCTATATCAAAAATATCAATATATTTAACAAAAAGTAACCGTCTAGCCTTGAAATAAAACTACCACAGTAGGCCATTGAAGAGCATATCGGCTTATATGGTAACCAATTGTTTTACATTTTTGCTAATGACCTAACAAGAAACAAACAGATTCAGAATTAGCTGAAAAAATACAAGTTAGGTAGGCATAAGGAAGAATTTCCACCAATAAGAGCTGTTATTGGTCTTGAAGTTTAGACTAATCTATTCCTTTTGCTAGAGTAGATTTGAGACTGAATAAGCACCATTTTGATTATTAGCAGCAACATCGCTATGTTGAGGGCCACTTAAATGCCTGATTCCCTGGAGCCTCGTGCCTGACATTCACAAAAGAAGATAAGTAGACAAGCTTCTTTTCTGATAATCTCTTCTTATTTAGCCCTTTCTTAGTCCTACTGTCCAATATATTTTGCAGGAGATACAGGATTATCAATGCAGGTCTAAATAATAATTAGAGTTAACATTTAGTGAGCACACACAATGTGCGAGGCACTGTTGTAGGTACATACAGTAATATCTTTCAGAAATAAATAGTGCATTTTACATAGGAAGAAACTGAGGCACGCTAACTTATGGTCACATGCCTAGTAAGAGGACATAAAACCTGCAAGCTGGCTCCAGAGCCTGTGCTCTTACCTTCTCTCACAGTTCCTCAGTGATCTTTTAAAGTACTTTCCCAGACCTAGAAGTCTATGATTTGTTTGCCGTTCTACTTGGCAATGTCATCATACTATTATTTTTCTAATCAAGGCACTGACCACTTTACAAACCTGATTTATGAATTATTCCCTTATTTTGTAAATTCAAAAATGTACTTTAACATCTCTGAAACTGGCATGTCTTACAGTCAATAACAACGATGGCATTTTACAATCATTGCTGGCCATGTGGCAGTTGTAAAACAGTTGTCTTTGCCTTAGTATGCATAAGCTGAGTCATAGCTGTAATACTATTGTCACTTCTACACTACACATGAGGTATATGCATTGTTCTTACTATATGTATTGACTTTATTACCTTTAAAATGTCTTTAAATTTTTTCACTATGATTTGGTATTGAAATGAAAAGTTATCATATATACCATAAAACTTGGATACAGACCAGGAAAGCATAAACTTGATATTAAAGGAGCAAATGTGTATCACTGGAGGAATAACCAAAATATCTTATTTTCTTGTAAAGGAATAATGGAGTGCTTCATGGTACCAAAGGAAACGAGAGCTCTGCAAATAGAGGAAGACGTCTTACATTTGGTTACTGAGATGTTCAAAAGGGTTGCCTATTACATGCCAAAGAAAGCAACTGACAGCAGGAGAAATTGCCAAATCCCTCAGAGCACATGAAAGAAATGTCAAAGCAACAGAGGATGATGTGGCCTGGTCTGGGCTAACATTAAGGTATTGTGTCATAGCTTAATTGGCAGTTTTCTTTGAAGAACTATGCATTAATGCTTAAAGATCAGAAGCCATTCTTTGATAAAAATAACTGTAACAATTCCAAATCAGTTGATATTAATTCTTGATAGCTATCAGCTACATTAGGGAACATATTTATCTTTTCAGTGTTGCCATGAAGTGTAAATTAATGATTTGAGACTATAGATAATGCACCTATGGTTATTCTTCCAAACTCCTGGAATTCCAGAGAGAACAAAACTACAGTTCTAGAGTAGTACATATCACTCTGGTTCTAAAAGAGCATATGTAGGTAGAATAAGCATTTAACATAGTGTGCTTCCTTTGTTTTCTGTTTGTTTTTCATTGAAATTCATGTTAGTGGAAAGATGTGAAGCATACCTCTTATGTGGAATTCTCAGCCCAATGATCTGAAAAGTCAAAAAAGGGAAACAGGAATAGGTAAGGGGTAAATGCTGGCATTGTCTGGAGTGAATGAGGCCAAAGCAAATTTCATCGGCAGAACAGAACTTCAAAGTGATTTCTTTTTTTTTTTTTTTTTCTGAGACGGAGTCTTGCTCTGTCGCCCAGGCTGGAGTGCAATGGCCGGATCTCAGCTCACTGCAAGCTCTGCCTCCTGGGTTCACGCCATTCTCCTGCCTCAGCCTCCCCAAAGTGATTTCTAAAAAGCATTTGTAAGTACAAGCTAACATGTTTTCATCAAGAGACCAATGTACAACTAACAAGCCAATATTTCCCTGCCATAGATGAAGAGATCCATAGCCCCGTTGATGACAATTGCCAGGTGTTGGTTCCTAGTCTGCTATTTAGTTCACTGAGCCATATGCTGTTCCATAACCAGAGTTTCATCAGCACTTGAGAGTTTCTCACAGTAAGATAAAGAAAACTAGAGATACCAAAGAGTATAACCCACCTGAGTCTACACTGTCTACTTAAAAGCTGTTAAAATGAACAGACCTAAACAGATCCATTCCAAGACATTCTTTGGGAAGACCTTGAGAAGTTAGAAGGAAGGCTGAGAGAAGAAGAAAGGAGGATGCCTTGAGCTCAGAAATTCTTAAATGAACATTTCATTTTAAAGCTATGAGTCAGACTCTAAATTGTATTAGTGTTTAATAGCAACTAACTTAGAAGAAAAACTTCAACAGTCTCATCCCAACTATTGGGTTTGTTTTAATAAGAATATCAACCTGTATGTTACTATGGTCACTAAATGAGTAACAAGGAAAATAACCCAAAAGTACTCAGTCTCTTGCCAGCTGGCCCATAAATGATAGTGAAGTATGACATACAGGCTGGTATTTGCTAACCATCACAGCTATAAATAATGAATGGAATCAACCAAAAAGTAAATAAATCCGAAACACTGTATGGTTGGCTCCAAATGCAGTCATGATTCATACAGTCTTGACATCATGTTCCCTAAAAACATTTTCTTTAAAATACTTTTTAAAAAAATGCTAATTAAGTGCAACCACTTACAACAATTTTTGTGTAAAGGATTAATGATATGCTAAGTGTTAGTTAATTATCCGTCAGTCTTACTGTTTTGTCCAAAGCACCTCCCAAATATCAAAACAACACCCTTACTGTGTGAATGAGCTAGGCTTGGTTGAGGCTGGGCAACAGGCCTGGTGGCAGCACATGTAGCTATTTATCGGTTTTGCTCTATGTGTAATGTCTGAATGCCAACAGACATACTCAGCTCTTCCAGCCATCTGGTGTTTAAGTATGTAGTTACAAATGGTTGGTATTTTTTAATACAAAAGAGAGTAAAAGGAACCTGGAACAAGGTAGTAATTACTAATCTAATAACAGTATTATGTGTGAAAGTATATGGTTATTACTTGGATGATAGAAATGGAAACAAGACTTACCATTACCTTGCTGGGATGTAAGTCCATCTTCTTTCTCAATTTTTGATGTCTCTTCCTTGCTGTCAGCCAGCTGGTCAGGTTCTGACTGTGCAAGGGCTTGTTTTTCACAGTCTGAGATAGTTTGAACCTTTTTGGAGGTGTCTTTCTGAGAATCATCCTCGTTTTTATCCTGGATATGGTTGAGGCTATCTATTTGCATAACTATTAAAATAAAAATTATTACAAAAATGTAATAATTTACATTTAAAAGTAAAAAGAATGTAACAGGTAGGTCTTATAGAAAGAAACAAAGTGAATAATGTTTATTCATATGTTCAAAACATTTATCAGGAGCCTACTATATGCCCAGTACTATTCCAGATGCTGAAGAGACAGCAGAAACAGGACAGAGAAATCCCTGCATTCTAGACTCCATTCTAAATGGCAGAGAATGACAATAAAATAAACAAATAGGTAAATAGTATATTTTCAGATAAAGACACAACTAAGGTTTTTTTTTTGTAAGAAGGTTTTGGAGAGCACTCCTATAGCAAAAGTCATGAGGACCAAGCTCTGAAAGGAGTCCCATTTGAGCTGAGAGCTGTTCATGGATCTAGGAAGCTTGGACTCGGGCCTATATTCTTGGTCTAAATATTCTAAATGTAACTGGAAGCCATTAAAGAGTTTTAGGCAAAGGAATAAAGGATCACTTTGGCTGCTGTGCACTGAAGGATCAGATTAATATGGAGACTGTTGAGGTCTGGGAGAAAGATAGTGGCTTTACAGTAGGATGGTAGCAATAAAGATAAAGTGGTTGGAATCAAGATTTATTTGGAGGTTACCTGATGGGTTGAGTGTGGGAGGTGAGCAAGAGACCAAAGATACAGCCCAGGTTTTTAGCATGATGTAGTAAAGAACAGGGAGGAGAAGATTTGGGTATTAGATGTGGCAGCGGTAGAAATATAAATCTAATAATTATATTTTTATATATAGTAATATCACTGTTACATAGACTATCTATTTCTCTCTAATCAGACTTTCATATTCACAAAAGGTAGTTTTTATTTTTTTAAGTTGCTTGAGAGATTCCTTATTAAATCCCAGGTCTAGAAATTTTCATTGTTGCTCTCGGTATCACAAAGGAAAAATCAGAACTATAAAACCCATATTAAATTATGACTTTTGTTGCTAAATCATTCAACTTATACATTTAATGTGAACTGACATTATTTCATAGTCAAAATAGAACTTATTTTTATTGCCTGTAGCAGTTGGGAATTGCATGGAATCATGCTAATTGTGACAGAGATATTACATGGAATAAGCATGTGATTCCAATTTAGTTCACAGACAACAGGTGCCCACATACAAATATAACCACCACCCACATGGCAGACTTGTCAATTTTGGTAGAAGCACCCAAAGTGAAAGAGGGAAGACTCAGCTCTTCCCTACATTTTCCTTCAAATCAAAATTAAGACAGAGAGAAGAGCAAGGCAGGAGGAAGGAACTGCAATATCAGAATTTATATCTTAGCTGAGTCTTTGTCAATGCCAATATTTTGAAGAATTAATGTATGATGCAAAATTAGATGTGTACAATTATTACAAATGATAAAATAAAATGTGTACTTCCAGTTTCCAAAACTGTCAGCTTGGCATTTTTATTACTATAAAAATGCTCTATAGAATTGGAAACAAGAATACGGATGTATGACAACCATGGGTATTAATAATCATTTCAGAAACTAAACATCAGAAAATGGTATCCCATGCTATAAAAACATACTTGAGGTATATTTATGATTTCTAACTTTAAAATAATATGTTTTAAAAAAGAATAAGCTCAAAAAAAGCCAGACATCAAATCGGTTCACAAATGAAGACTGATCCATAGAGCAATTTTGATGCTTTGAAAAGCAAAAACCATGGCACAATGTATACTGACTAGGCAAAGAAGCGACATTACATTATTTTGCTATTTAAACATAAAAATAATCCACAATTTCCTTAAAAACAAGTATTAGCTACAGAGGAGAGAAAATAGTAAGTCTATGAGTATAAGGCATATTTGCTACCATAGCAACAAAGCTTCAATTCCTGCCCACTGAATTCATATCCTGCTGACATTAATCAGAAATGTCCATTTGTGCCAAATTAATGCCATATCACAGACGTTTGGGGATATACATTCTTGACAGAACCAGGAGCTTTTCACATTCCACAAGGGATAAATTCAGTCTTCACTATATGAAGCTCTTATTCCAATTTAAAAGCTAAAGTTGTGCTGAGTCACACTATCCGTGGATAACAGCAGTCTCTATAAGCACAGGTTATCTGAAGACACCACTAACAGCCCTTACCTCCGTGGTCACCTTCTATATACTCACCAGCACTGCCTTGAGGATTCTCACACATTTCGCAATAAGGTAACACTGAATTATTGATATATGTGCAGAAACTACACTGCCAGCCCTCTACAGGAAAGGCTGGGGTGGCTGACTGGGCCTTGGCCTCCTGGACACTTTCCATGAGTGGAGTTCTGATTTGCCTGGACTGGGATGGTGTCTCTTCCGAGGGACTGCAGTGGTCATCCGAGGCGGCCAATTTCAATCTTTTAGTTTCAGGTTCAACATCACTTTCATAATCGACGGTATCTCCTGCAGCTGTTTTTGTAGGGTCTGATGACACTACAGTATTTTCCTCCTGGAATCTCTTTGATTCATCACAGGAGGTCATCAACTGTCTTTTTTTAGGTTGTGGTAAAAAAAATGATCGAATATCATGCTGTTTTTCTTTTTCGAACTAGGAAAAGCAAACAGTAGTTATCAAAGTAAGAAGCAATCTAATATGTTCTTCTTACATAAAAGAGCTTAACAAAATATTTTAATTAACCATATTGCCTTATCCTTTAAATACCTTTTGGAAATGAATTCATATATACATACATATATATATGTATGACTCTTCATATATACATACACATATATATGTAAAACATATCCATGTGCTTCCTGTGTCTTAACTTTTTTCTTAGCACTTATTGTGTGCCAAGCATTTTACGTATATTAACTCATTTAATCCTCATGTCAGTTCTGTGAGGTCAATACTATTATTATTATCACATTTTGAAGGAGGAAACTGCAGCTTTAGAGAGGTAAGATAACTTGGTTAGAGCGGTTATATAATAAAAATATACTTAATACATTACCCTAAATGTATGTCAGGGGAAAAAAGGCAATTGTGTATTCAAATATTTCAGGACAATCAAGGACCTAAAAAAACGCTTTCACACCCAAACTATAAACACAATGTTCATACATAATGTTATTCATATGAAAATGTTTTCTTGACCAAGAAGCATCTTGACCAGGAAGCTGTTAATTAGGCTGGGTGTGGTCGCTCATATCCATAATCCTAGCACTTTGGGAGGCTGAGATGGCAGGATTGCCTGAGCCCAGGAGTTCAAGACCAGCTTGGGCAACATGGTGAAACCCTGTTGCTACAAAAAAAACCCCCAAAAAACAAAAAAAACCCCAAAACAAAAATTAGCCAGGAGTGGTGGCGTGCACCTGTAGTCCCAGCTACTTGGGGAGCTGAAGTGGGAAGATTGCTGGAGCCTGAGAGGTTGAGGCTACAGTGAACTGTGACTGTGCCACTGCACTTCAGCTGAGGCAAGAGAGTGAGACCCTGGGACGGAAAAAAAAACAACAAAAAAACCTGTTAATTAGGACAGCTTCTTTAGTAGACACATTTTAATAATAACCTTGTTTTCAAGAAATGTTTTTTTTTTTAAGAACAGCTATACCACTGCATGTTTTTCATCTTTTCAATGTGTAAATCTCAGTTTCCTATTACAGAAAGTAGGATACCTGTCTCCATGGTTTATTAGCTACAGTGAGGGTAAATTAAAGGATTTAGTTTTAGAGGTGCAGTTGGGAGCTATGTTAGAAACACGCTGTGGCCGAATATATTTTCAATGATGGTCACACCAATTCTTATGTCATTTCACATGCTCTTCTTACAATGTGACACTGACATGCCTCCATTGAGAGGTGGGATCTATGTTCTTCTTCCTTGAACCTGAGTAGACCTTTGTAACTGTCTCACCCAACAGAATGCACTTAAAATAATGCTGTGTGACTTCTTTTTTTTTTTTTTTGAGGCAGAGTTTTTCGCTCTTGTCGCCCAGGCTGGAGTACAATGGTGCAATCTTGGCTCACTGCAACCTCCGCCTCCCAGGTTCAAGCAATTCTCCTGCCTCAGCCTCCCAAAAGTAGCTGGGATTACAGGCGTTCACCACTACACCCAGCTAATTTTTGTATTTTCAGTAGAGACGGGGTTTCATCATGTTGGCCCTCATCTTGAACTCCTGACCTGAGGTGATTCACCCGCCCTGGGCCCCCAAAGTGCTGGGATTATAGGCGTGAGTCACCATGCCCAGCCGATGCTATGTGACTTCTGAGGCTAGGTCATTGAAAGTAATATGGCTTCAACTTGGCTGGCCCTCTGTCACTCCCTTTCTTTCTCTCTTGGGACACTTGCCTTGGGAACCTAGACACCATTGGTGTGAGGAAACCCAGGCCACACGGAGAAAGCCTGCAGTGTTCCAGTTGACAGCCCCAGAAAAGCTCCCAGGTGACAGCACCAATTGCCAGACACATGAGTGAACAAGCCTTCAGAGAAGTTATCAGCCCCTAGCGTGGGTGTCTTCCAGGAAAGGCCACAGTCATCATGGAGGAGACATGTCATCCCTGTTGTACCCTGGTTGAATCCTGCACCCATAGAAACTATAAGAAATAATACATGGCTATTGTCTTAAGACACTAAGTTTTGGAGCAATTTGTTATGCAGTAATAGATAACTAAGACAGACCCTGTAGATAATGATAGCAAAATACCATATATTGTAAATGATATTTTACAAAGTGAATATTATCTGTACTTCTTAGTGGTACTGTATGAGAAAGAATTATAAAATTCATAAAAACAGAAAGATTAGTGGTTACCAGAGGCTGGAGGGGAAGGGGAAATGGAGAGTGATTGCTAAATAATTATAGACTCTCTGGGGTAATGGAAAATTTTTGGAAATACTGGTGGTGGGTGCACAACACTGTGAATGTAAATGCACTAAACTGTACACTTAAAAATGGTTAAAATGACAAATTTTAATGTTACCACAGTATAAAAATTCAAAAAAAAAAAAAAAAAAGGAAGCGAAAAAATAAGGAAGGAAAATTTAGGCTGTTCCCTATTTGTAAAATTAAAACATGTTATCGCCGGGCGCGTGGCTCAGTCTGTAATCCCAGCACTTTGGGAGGCCAAGACGGGCGGATCACGAGGTCAGGAGATCGAGACCATCCTGGCTAACACGGTGAAACCCCGTCTCTACTAAAAAATACAAAAAAAACTAGCTGGGCGAGGTGGCGGCCGCCTGTAGTCCCCAGCTACACGGGAGGCTGAGGCAGTAGAAGGCGTAACCTGGTAGGTGGAGCTTGTAGTGAGCTGAGATCCCGCCACTGCACTCCAGTCCGGGCGACAGAGCAAGACTCATCTCAAAAAAAAAACCAAAACAAACAAAAAAAAAAACATGTTATCATAGGGAAAAAAACTCCCCTACCCCACTACTCCAAATAATGTAGAACTCTTATTTTGCATGGCTAATTTATACATCCTCAAATACTAATAAAAAGTTATCTAATAGTTGTGAAATATACAGATTCAGATAAATATAAAGAATGAAATCATTAACCACGAGATATGATTTTTAAAACAATGCATAAGGGAAATTAAAGAAAGGTGTCGCCCAGACGTAGTGGCTCATGCTTGTAATCCCAAGCACTTTGGGAAGCTGAGGCGGCGCGGATCGCGAGGTCAGGAGTTCGAGACCGAGCCTGGCCAACATGATGAAACCCTGTCTCTACTAATAATACAAAAATTAGCTTGGGCGTGGTGGCATGCACCGGTAGTCCCCTACATGGGAGACTGAGGCAGAAGAATCGCTTGAACCTGGGAGGTGGAGGTTGCATAGCCAACACTGCACCCTCAACTCCAGCCTGGGTCAAAAAAAAAAAAAAAAGGGTGGAGGAAAGCAAAGAGATTAATAGACTGATGAAGTTGGTGTTTTAAAAAAAAGGTAACAGGCTGAGTGCAGTGGCTCATGTCTGTAGTCCCGTTCATTGGGAAGCCAAGACAGGAGGATTGTTTGATACAAGGAGTTCAAGACCAGCCTTGACAACACAGCAAGATCCTGTCTCTACAAACAACAGAAAAATTAGCCAGGTGTGGTGGCGTGCGCCTGTAGTCCTAGCTACTTAGGAGGCTGAGGAAGAAGGATTGCTTGAGTCCAGGAGTCCCAGTCTAGGCAATATGGCAAGATCCTATCTCTTAAAAACAAAAAAGGTAACAAAGAAACAAAAAGAATTAAACATTTAAAGAAAATATTCTATTCTATACAATAAAACTGCAAAGAGAGCTTGCAGAATTTTGAAAATACTAGCAAATGTTCAGCAAACATGAACAAATCCCATCAGCTATTTCTAGTTAAACCATACTGTATTTCCAAGAGAGGTAAACTTTCTGTCCTTGCCTATCTAGAAATGAGTTGATTTTGTCCTCATCCTTATTCAGTAGTTTTGCTGGGCATATGATTCTCCTCGAATCCTTCCTTTCTGAGACAGGGTCTTGCTGTGTCACCCAGGTTGGAGGGCAGTGGTGCAATTACAGCTCACTGGAGTCTTGACCGCCTGGATTCAAGTGATCCTCCTGCCTCAGCCTCCCAACTAGCTGGGACTACAGGAGCATGCCACCATGCCTGGTTAATTTTTGTATTTTTTGTAGAGGCTGAGTTTCAACATGTTGCCCAGGCTGGTCTTGAACTGCTGAGCTCAAGTAATCCACCTGTCTTGGCCTCCCAAATTGGTGTAATTACAGGCATGAGCCACCATGCCTGACCTCTCAAATCCTTAAAGGCATTGTTCTGTTTCTTCCAACATCTGTTGATGCTGAAGATGTTGTTTCTTGGTAGGCTGCACATTTTTGCTTTCTTTTAGGGCTCTTCAGGAACTTTTATTTCTGGTGTTTTAAAATTTCACAGTGATCTACCTCTATATAATCTATATTCATGTGCCTTTAAAAATTCTGCTCAGCACCGAAGATACCTTATTTTGAATACTACTATCTTTAGCTCTTGAAAATTTTTATTATTCTTTGATAGTTCCTTTCTGTTAATTTTCTCTTTTCTCTTTTCCTGGTATTCCTATTAGTAGAATGTTAGACTTATACATTTATGTCTTATCTTTTACTATATTTTCCTTCTTTTTGTCTTTTTACCCTGTAAACTCTTAGTTTTCCTCTACTCATCTTTCAATCCTTATTATTTTAGTTTGGCAGTTATATTTTTACCATCTAAAAGTTCCTTGTTATTCTCTATTTTTTTTAACCATATTCTCATTTTATTTTTATAGGCAATATAATTTCAAATCTGAAACTACTACTTAAGAGTTTTTTTTTAATTATCTTCAGGATCAATCTGTGTATTAGTTTACTTTTGCTTACCTTTTTCATGCTATAGATTTTTCTCTTCAAATGTCTAATGACCCTTGATTGTCCCTTCCTTGAGGGATGAATGGGGAATAGGAGGGTTCCTGAGAACTCAGGACATATGGGGCTATCAGCAAGATCTGATGGGACATGCTGATTGAACATGAGGGATGAGGAAGATGCAGGGGCCTAGAGTAATCCTCAGACTCCTAGATTTTTGACTTATAACATGGTAGGGATGATATTTTCAGTTACTGCAATAGA